ATTCCTAAATTATCTATAAAAAACCCTCAGTTTTTTTTTAAATTTGGAACTGATGAGTGGGTCCAGCCAAATTGATTTTTTAATTTATACAGGATGTTTAAATTTATACAGGGTGTTTTCAATATATTTGAATTTTGACCTGATACAGCTAAACCAAGCATGGATTTGTAATCTACGACCAAAAATTAAGTTTACGTGTCCGAGCGTTTAGCTGTGATATTTTTTAAACGAAAAAAATAAACTATTACAAAAAAATGTAATATTGATTTATAAAACAAACCATTGACTTTGAACAACGTATTGCAGAAAATCTTGTTGGTTTATAAAAAATAAACAAGTCAATATTTTTTTATAAAGTTATTTAGGGACTTTGTTGTATGAAAAAAATTGTTATTAAATTCCGACCTTAGGTTCCACTTCAGGAAGCCTTACCTCAAAAAAATTCTAATTCTAAAATGCCTTTACCAATCTTTATGAAATTTTGTATAAGAATACTTTAACTTAACAGTTCACGTGTTAGAGGGTTTTTCGAGAAAATATTTTTAAAGCCCTTTTATTTAAAAACGTTCGAAAAATAACTTTTAGGGAATTTTTTTTAAGTAAATAAAAAATATGCTGTTAAAGACCGTATTTTTGTTAGTATTCCCTGAAAATTTTGTTCAAATCAAACGAACAGTAACGATACAGCGCTTCAAAGTCGATAAAAATGACCCCTTTTTGATTATTTTGCTTTTGTCATTTTTGACGACTTTGAAGCGCTACAGCAGGGGGGTGAAACTCATATTGGAATATGCGGAACAAGTCATCTTTTTTAATAATTATTTTAATTGTCAGTTTTGATTTCTGACAACAATAGAAAGAATATTGATAACGGTAAAGATCTATTTCTAAGCTTTTAAGTATTTTTTTTAGTTTTTTTCATCTGTATTGCTTTTTCTTGAAGTTACAGTAAGTATATACAATAAATCAGTTGCTTTTATAATGTTTTTTAGAGATTGACATACCTATTAAATAATTAATTTGTATGTAATTTAATACGATTAGTTTTTTTTCAAAAACCAATATTACTTAATAATATTGGGACATTTGCTTTAATAGGGACAATTGTTTAGTTTAAAAGTAATTTCCAGCGTACTGATGTCCCTGGTGGAAGAAGTTATTGAAATTTTTACTTTTGTTATAAAATGTAATGCATTAATGGACATCAAAATTTTTTTAATACATATATGTTTTTTTAGGGCCAAAACCGATGCAGGAGGGAAGTTTTATACCATATTTCACTTCTGAACCCATTCAAAATACAGATACACTGTTTGTATATTCTTTAATTTATTTTATTGTTAAAATTAGTGTATTATAACCATTTACTTTTTAAAATAAATAAATAATTGCAACTATTTTATTTTATTGGTCAAATTTAAATAAATTAATATTATAATTATTAATATATACAAAATAGATAAAGCCGGCCCTGTAGTATAAAAGTTAATAAAATATTTGGAGTACGGCCCTATTTGGCAGGCGTTTATGACGTTTGTGTTGCTTAAGGCTTTGTTATCTATGCTTAAGTTTAACACAGTGGTCGCCCTTCTTACTTATATTCTTTTTCTATGCGCTACAGTTTCGTTACTGTTCGTTTAATTTGTACAACATTTTTAGGGTATACTTTAAAAAATACGGTATTTCACAGCATATTTTTTAACTACTTAAAAAAAAGTTTTTTTTCGAGCGTTTTATTATTAAATAAAAGGGCTTTAAGGATATTTTTTCGAAAAACCCTTGAACACGTAAACTGAGATATAAGTTTAAGTATTTTTATCCAAAATTTTATATAGATTGGTAAAGGCGTTTTAGAGTTAAATTTTTTTTACTTATTATTCTTTAATTTTGACGCGCAGTGTATTTTATAAGAAAATTTTTTATTTAATTTTAATTATTAATAGACAAAAAATGGGTTAAAATTAAAATATAAACTTAGCTAAAGGATATATGCAATGAAAAGTAAAACTACCTTATAATCGCATATTTATATATATTATTATATTATGTGGTAACATAAATATGCGTTACAGAATTTTTATTTAATTATAGGAATGCATAATTTCTATAAAAACCAAGCAGAGTGTGAAGGTATGATTAAAAGTAGGTTACCGTGAATCTGGCAACACCTAATTATTAATTATCTTTGCATCGTGTTCACATTAGAAAAGTTAATATCCGGAACAAGTCAACATTATATGTTTTATATTATAAAACATGTAAAAACTAAAATAATATGCCTTTGATATTAGAAGTCTCAAAAAGGTTTTCCACAAAAGTTTTTATAGATATTTTACCACACTCACAATTTAAACTGATTTTTCCTTGGATTTAGCTATAAAAAATCCCCCTAAAAAATAATTGTTTTCTTTAAGGAAAGCATGTTTAGTTTATTTTCTTATTTTTACAACTTAAGTGCGGTTGATGTAGTTTTAGGGTTCCAGGCAGCTCTATAAAGAAAGTAAAATGTAGAGTGAATAAAATTAAGGGTAGGTGTGGGTTATGGCAAGGAATATTAAATACCCCCGAACAAAAGAAAATAAAGGCATTGCTTTATTAGTTTTCGTGAGTGTTGTTGAATCAATTCTACCTATTTCTTTGTTCTGCATAATTATCCGTTTTTTTTTCTTAAGCTCTTTAGTTTATATATTTTTTTCTACTCTTACCTTTAAAACTCCCTTTATCGTACATGTTTCCATGACACTAAGTGACCATTTAAATACACATTGACAAGTTATGGCGTTATGGCGCTTTAGTCACGGGCTGAAGTTAGCAACATGTTTTTAGTCACGGACTGAAGTTAGTTTTAAGTTAGTTGACAGTTGTCAAATGTCATACAATCGTTAAAGTGCCTTTCTTGTAAAATAATACTAAATTTGAAAATTATTTTATTATCTCAATACAAAAATACAAAAGTATTAAATAGTTTCTCAACGCCAATATTTGAAAAGTTTATATGAACATTGTACTGACCTTTTAATTTCGCCGGCAGTAAACTATAACTTTAATTCGGGCACGGACTCCACTTTAAAGTGCTTTTTCTTTACTTTCACTGTAAAAAACTGTCCATTTTCAAAAAATAAATTTCAATTCATAACCTTTATAATCTGTGTTTATAAAATAGAAAAATTTGACATTTGACGGTGACAAACAGATTCCCCTATTGTTTCATAGATGGCGCTCTATAAAAATATTTGATTTAAATCATTTTAAGATAATAATAAGTATTTGTCGTAGAAAAAGTATAGTATGCACCTCGTTTATAAACTTTTCTTTACACTCATTAATTTAAGAACTCGCTCGGAAGCTCGCTCGTGCCTAAATTAAATTCGTGTATAAAATGGCGTTTATCAAACTTGATACATAATATAGTATTGTCTACTCCCACATTGACAAGCTGTGACTTTATGGCGTTTTAGTCACGGGCTGAAGTTAGCAACAGTGGCCTTGAGGCATTTTAGTCACGGGGTTAAGTTAGCTTTATTAAAAGTGAGGTTAAATTTATAAAAAGTAAGGTTAAATTCTTCAGATGTCAAATATTTATGAATTGAAATTGGCATAAAATTCTTATTTCTGTTCTTCGTAGATAAAGTATAGTATGAAACTCGTTTTATAAACTTCTCTAGGCACTCGTGTTTATTAAACACTCGCTCGCAAGCTTTGTCGTGATTAATACAATCTATGTATTACTATGTAGTACCTAATCTGTTAACTAATTGAATACCTAAGTAGTTTGTAATTATAACCGACATTTTTTAGATTTAATAACAAAATCCTTTAACAATAATTCAACCATAATTCTTGTAATTTTTAAAAAGGACCTTATTTTTACAAACCTTATGTAAACCCAGTAAGTATTTGTTGGAAATTGGGAAAGGTATATTTTGCGAACATTCACTTACTACCAAAACACATATTCACACATAATAATATTTGTTTGAGTGAACACAGTGTCGTAGAAACGGGGGTTACTTAAGCTTTATCACCCTGTATCTTGAAAACATAAGTAATTAGGAAAAATATTTATTTGGGTTTTCGTCTTATTTTGACATTTCCTAAATTTATACCAATAAGTTTAGGAACACCTTGAATAACACACTATTCTGAAATAATCAAATTATAAATAAAATAAATTTGGTACAATACTACAACACTTACTGACCTATTTGGTAACTTTAACCCTTTTCGCACTTCGCACACTAGTTAAATAGGTATAAGAAATACGAATAACAACAGATTTCTGGTAATATATTATAAACACTCTGGACGGTTATTACGAACACGTTAAGAATTAGAATAAAGTAAGCAGAAACATAAGTTGCAGACGTATTGTTAGTGGGAAATGTTTTGATTGACTGCCTGAAATGACGTGTACTCTTTCAACAAAATAATTTGTTAAACATTAACAAAATAATGTGTAACCATTAAAATTAACAAAATGCTTACGAAATTGCATATTACCTTTTCAAATATTTCGGTTAAATATTTTTCTTCGTTTAAGTAATAACAAACCCTGGTTTAATACAAACTATTATGTTAAAATTTTACAAAATAAAATTAACATACTACAAACTCATGTTAACAAATCTAATTTTTTAACAGTGTATATAAAGTAAAATAAACTATTAACACAAAAATAAATACCCCTGTATTATATATATAAGTATGAAACATATAGCATATTGAACAAAAATTTATGTAAATTTGTAAAGTTTGCATAATGAAACGAGCGCAAATATTTTCCGCGTTCTAAACTCATTGAACGTTAACACACTTTATTAATCCCAAAATTAATTCACTAGAATAAGTTACGTAAAACCAAACTAAAACAAATTTAATCTATAATTTGGGCAAAATCTAGGATGATCTACAAGAATAACATTAATTTTTACATATAAAAACGCGTACGTTTCTTTGGATATCATTCCAGCATCAGCATTAATTGTGAAACAACGTATAAGATGTCCAACAACAAATACATTATATTGTGCTTCTTGGCCTTAGTACCGGGGTACTTGACTCAAAACGGCTTAGAAGAACAACACACGGATAACATCGACTACCACAACTTCAACACGAACCCAAAATACAACTTCGGCTACGGAGTCCACGACCCTGAAAGCGGCGACGAGAAAGAGCACTACGAAGAAAGGGATGGCGACGCTGTCAAGGGCTCCTACAGCTTGAAGGAAGCGGATGGCTCTATAAGGATTGTGGAGTACACGGCCGATAGTAAGAATGGTTTTCAAGCGGTCGTCAGGACAATCAGGAAACCCAAACAAGAAGGCACTCCTGCCCTGGTTCCACAGCCTACTTCGCAGCTTTCAAGAGCTGTCAGTGGGGAGCAGCAGGTCGAGCAACATAAAGCATATGACGTTGACGTGTAAGTTTTTTTGTTGGTGATTTAGGTACAGAGCTATGCGGTATCTACTTATGTTGTACTTTTTGCAATTTTTTATAAACCCAGTATTTGAATAATTTTAAAATGACTAATAAGCAAATAATTATGGCCTAAAAACTGAGGCACTTTTTTGACATGTTAAAACTTGGGGGGAAATGTTGTTCACCAATTTCCGTATATATAAATAAATAGAAAAAAAAATGGAAACTAGGGACATGCATGGACCGTGTGGTGGCCTCTTGGCAGCGTGTTCTTGTATTTGCACTTGTTTTATGACGCGCGTTTTACGAATATTGGTCTACATCCGGAGTACAACATTACTCCCCTTTTACCCTATATGGTGTCCAAAGTTATCTGCTCCGTTATTAGTGGAGCTACAAAGTTGGTTAAATAAGAAAATTAGTGGCATTTTTGATTTTCATTAAAATGGTGAAAACAGAAAAACAATTAAACCTCGGGTTTCCGAAATATAATTTTTTTTAAGTACAAACGGTTTTTTACAGAAAGTTTAATTGCTTATAAATTGTTTATTTTTAAGGGTAGGGTAGTTATGCAATATAATTTTTTGTTTTAATCTAAATTATCTTTTAAAATATGTATGTTATTTTTGTAAAAATTTCATACATTTTAATTTGACCGACTTTGTAGACCTAATAATAACATCGGATTTTGTTACCTAATTTAAAAAAAAGTTTTTTCAAGAATAATTTTTGCTTGGAAAAGTACTCAACATAGCTCTGCTTAGGTATTCAAGTTTTAAATGTTAGGTTAAGGTTTAGTTTTAAAAGCATGTATCCTTTTTTATTTTAAGTTTAAGAAAAAATAACATGAACATGTTATATTTTTACTTTTATGCAAATATATCGTTATTTAAATCCATTGTTTTTTATTAAAAACTATTTTTTTATTAAGTTTTGTTTTGTAAAATCCACAAATATAAATATTTTATAATATGTTATGTGAGTTTAAGAAAATATATATTGTTATTACAACTAAAAAGTTATTAAAAGTTACATCCATTACATTATTTTGAACAATTTTTACACCAAAAAAATATCCAGTTTTATGGAATAATTGAGGTAAAATATAGTGTATGTAACCTGAATGTAACTAAAAATCTTCCAAAGTTACGTAAACCGCCAAAATTGTATAGTGCATATACACTGTTCAAAATTTCATGACCATTTTAACACCAAATTAACACCATACATGGTCTATATCGATACAAACCAAAATGGTGTTAAATATGGTTCGTTGATCCGGTGTAAATTCAAATACTAAAATGGTGTTAATTTAACTTTCACACAGTATTAAAATAAATTTTACCTGGTGTAAATTGAACTCCTTTTCAGTGTTAAATATTATGTGTTTGTGCTCAAATTAAATCATACTACACAGAAAAAACGAAAAAAAGGAAACAGGAAGTTCCTTGACGCATTACTAGTATATTACCTGTGGTATTATTCCAGAAAATGGAACCTTCAACTCGCTAGAGATAATGTTTTTAGTGCGTTCAACTTAAAATACTACAAGTATTGACAGCTGTTTCCACCTATTTAAGGTCTCTTTAGTATCGAACAACTTGTAGTGTCACACCAAAGCAAAGGACTACCTGAGTTTATATATTCTTCATGTAAGTCAACAGAGGCGAGATTTAAGAACATCACGTGATCCACACCGCCTTTGCAGCGATCGGTACACATTTTCAACCATAATTCATGGTGTTATATTAACACCACTTGGTGTTGGATTTTGACACCATTTTAAGATTACTTTTTACACCACAGATATTTTAAACAGTGTATAAATAAATAGAAAAAAAAAATGTAAACTAGGGACATGTATGGACCGTGTGGTGGCCTCTTGGCAGCGCGTTCCTGAATCTGCACTTGTTTTATGACGCGCGTTTTACGAATGTTGTTATAACTTTGGTGCAAGCACCTATCATACCGACGGCAAGCGATTTGCTTTATTTATTTGGTCTACATCCGGAGTATAACATTACCCCCCTTTTACCCTATATGGTGTCCAAACTTATCTGCTCCGTTATTATTGGAGCTACAAAGTTGGATAAATAAGAAAATTATGGCATTTTTTATTTTCATTAAAATGGTGAAAAGAGAAAAACAATTAATTTTTTTTTAAGTAATAACGGTTTTTTTCAAAAGAGTTTTATTGCTTATAAATTGTTTATTTTCAAGTTTAGGGTAGTTATCGAGGTAGTTATGCAATATAATTTTTAGTTTTAATTTAAATTATCTTTTAAAATGTGAGAAAAAAAATATTTTTGTGAAAATTTCAGAAATTTTAATTTGACTGACACCGGATTTTGTTACCTAATTTAAAAAAAAATTAAAGTTTATTTAAGAATAATTTGTGCTCGACATAGCTCTGCTTAGGTATACAAGTTTTAAATGTTAGGTTAAGGTTTAGTTTTAAAAGCATGTATCCTTTTTTTATTTTAACTATTATTCAAATTTTTGTTGAGAAAAAATAACATGAACTATAAACATGTTATATTTTTACTTTTATGCAAATAAATCGTTATTTAAATCCATTGTTTTTTATTAAATATTTGATAATACTATGTTTTTGCTAAATTTTGTTTTGTAAAATCCACAAATATAAATATTTTATAAAATGTAATGTGAGTTTAAGAAAATGTATAAAATATATATTGTTATTACAACCAAAAAGTTATTAAAAGTTATATCCATTACATTATTTTGTACAATTTTTACACCAAAAAAATATCCAAATTTGGGGAATAATTGAGGTAAAATATAGTGTATGTAACCTGAATGTAACTAAAAATCTCTTAAAGTTACGTAAACCGCCAAAATTGTATAGTGCATATAAATGCATTTTTTAACGTGGCACATGATTTGACCGTTATTTTATATTTCGTTTATATTTTTTAATATTGTAATCAGCATGCATGCATATTTTTTTAATTTTCCTCTTATGCGAAAAAACTGGTCAGAAAGCATTTTCGTCATTTCACTGAGATTATTAACCTTGACGAAGACAGAAGACGAACGCCAAAATGTTGGAATAAAAATGTTTTTCAAGCACTTGGCGTTGTTTTTTGCAAATATGGAGTTTTATGTAAATAATTTATGGTTTTTATAATGCATATTTTTACGACCTTAGTAGTCATATACCAAAATGACAGATACTGAAGAAAAAGTCAAAATGAAAAATTTATGCATACCTATTTTAATGTTTTTTAATGCTCACTTTTTACGACCTTAGTAGTCACATACCAAAATGACAGATGCTGAAGAAAAAGTCAAAATGAAAAAAAGAAAAGAAATCCAGAAGAAGGAACTTCCAAATTGGAAGTACATTACACATTCAAGGCACGAATACTAAAAAAACAACAACGAACGCCGACTTAAAAAAATTTACATTTTTATAAACAATATATTTATTTATTTAATTATGTATTGCTTAACAGAACATGTTTAATTAGAGGACAAAATAGTATAACAAACTAGAGAATTTTAAAAATAAAGTAAATTATAATTATTAAATGTATCATCACTGAATCAATGAAGTATTTACAGATTCTTTGAATTGGGGAATTATACTAAAATTGATTTTAGGTGTTGTATATTTACACCTATAGGTAAAAAAAGTGAACCTATTATCAACATTACACTCAAATCACGAACAGTACAGCACTTCTCCAAAGCAGCCGTCAAGCATATAATTAAACTCATTACTATAAGTGAAGTTTTTAAAGTGTTCGACACAACTTTACATTTAAATACAGTGACCCATTTGTTTGCAGCTCACCCCTGTAAAATCTTTATTTATTTTGCTATTTTAACCGCACAAAATGTGCAAGCTGAAACTTAATATACAGTGTGACCCATTTGTTTGCGACTCACCCCTGTAAAATCTTTACTTATTTATTGTGCGATTTTAACTGGATTTGTTTTAAAGTGTAGATCTTGATAAACTGTATTTTTTAGCAAAAAACGCCATATTTGTAAAAAATACGAGGCCTACCATGTCAGTTTTTAAGAATTCATGTTAGCGATTTTTTGAAACAAAATCTAATAACGGCACTGGATTTACCACCCCTCAAAACGACCCTTTACTAAATTTTATTGAAAAATTCTGAGTAGACAAATGCACAAAAAAATTTATTATATCAAGTTATTCATGAAAAAAAATTGAAATAAAATTAAACTTATAGTAATAGTATCATGTTACTGATATGGAAAAATTTTTGTAGTTATTATTGTGCATTTTTTTAATTAAATTTTTTCAATAAAATTCAGTATAGGGTCATTTTGAGGGGTGGCAAATCCAGTGCCGTGATTAGATTTACTGACATGGGAGGCATTGTATTTTGTAAAAAAAATATGGCGTTTTTTGATCAAAAAATACAGTTTATCAAGATCTATACTTAAAAACAAATCCAGTTAAAATCGCACAATAAATAAGTAAAGATTTTACAGGGGTGAGTCGCAAACAAATGGGTCACACTGTATATTAAGTTTCAGCTTGCACATTTTACACCTATTTTCAATATGATTTAGGTTAGCTTAAAGTAACATACAGTCATTGATACCACCGATCCTAAAAAAATATTTTCAAATCATCAGCAAATGAACAGTAAAAATAGGAACGGATCCAGGTTGGACCTTTGGGGTACTCCAGATGTAAGAGTACATTTTAAATAATTAAACCTTAGTTAGTTGCATTCCTTGTTCAAAAAAGTCTTAAACCTCATTGTTAATATAGTAGGTACTATTTTAGAGTATATTAGAGTTATTTATTTAATATTTTTGAATATTTGTATAAGTGTAAGTACTGTTATTATATTACTAGTGTTATGTTGTAACTAGTTAATTAGGGTCAATAAAAAATTATAATTATTATTATGGATAATAATAATAATAATTTTAAAATAGACTTTTATGTTTATATTTGAAATATAATAATAAATTTAATAAAATTTGTAAATAAGTAAATTTTAACAATTTTTTAATATTTGATGTAAAATTTATTTTTTTAAATTTAAAAACATAATATTTTTATAAAATAGGATAGGTATTTTTGATAAATCAACATTGTTATAAATACTAAAGACTTATTTTAAATCACGTTTACTAAATTATTCACAATTTATTTTAAACTCAAAAGGTTTAAACATAATTAAAATTCACCAACTGAATCTGAATTAAAACTTAAGTAAAAACAAACTTGCTTTAATTAACTCCAAAACTACTCCACTGCATTGAAACTAATGTATTTTAATAAGGCCCCATAAATGTTTTGAATACAAAACCATTTAGCTGGTAATTGGGTTAAAAGTTAATTTTACATCATTTTAAATCTGCTTTAGTTTTAACTAATGCATTGGCAATCTAACATATTATGCAATTCCTTATTAGATCAGTCTTGTAATTAATTATGTTAAGAATATAATTAATTTTGCTCATTGCCAAGGTTAATTACAATTTAATTAATTTATTACTAATTAAAAGAAATTTATTAAATTACATTAAATACATTACATACAAAATGTAGGTATGCATTTCTGTATGAATAAAAAAATCGTATAGCAGAAAAACATATAATTATGTATGTTCCATAACGAGTTTAAATATTTAATGTTATTTACTTAAATAAAAGTCAAATCACGTATTTTTTAGGCATAGAAACTAACCATTGATATTGATTGATATTATAAAATATTTTTTTTTTCAAGCGGCCATGATATACAACCTTATATGCATGTATAGAGATAGTTGAAGTGCGTCTTTTTTATTAGCGGCAGACAAAAAACTCAAAAAAGCCTAGCGATAGAAGTAAATCCATAGGTGACTCAATAGACGTCAAATAATAAAATTAATTTAGCATTTCATACTAAGCAATCACGATGTATTAATTATATTATTATAATCGCACGGAATATTTAGTGATTATTTATTAAATTTTAATTGAACGAAATAAAGAACAACTAGTTTATTAGTATAATATTATGATGATAGACGAGTCGCCAATGTCGGAATTTCAAACAAATGTCAGTTCGTCAAAATTAATTCAAGCGCATTATTTTGACAGAGCTGTGTTTATTTTTAGTTTTGGATATTTATCGGCATTGTAAGTAAGGGTTATAAGTTTTTTTAGTTTTTATCAATAATTTCTAATGCTTTTAGCCAAAATTTTATCCCACATGATTTAATTGAAGAGCTGCAGTGCGTGTAATTGTACATTTAATGTAAATTTTGCTTATTATATTTATATTACGCCCTTGAAAAAAAAATAGTATATGTTATTTGGAGTAGAAGCTCTTTTTGTACTTCGTACAGTTGCCTGCCTCAGCTACGCTTCGGCCGTCAATCTCTGTACTCACCACAAAAAGAGTCACTTCTACTCCTTATGACATAATCTACTATTATCTCTACCCGGTCTATAATTTTAACTTTATTGTTGTCAACATTCGATAAAGAAATACCTTGTTATGGCCTATAGGCCTATAGGCCGATAAATTTTTTTATAAAGCAAGTAATTAGTTCGATTTTTTCTCGCTAGGGGTATTGTTTTGACAAATAAATCCTTTTCTATGAAATTAACGTACTAAACTGGTTTAATTTGTTTATAATAAGCACTAATTTGTTTGTTTTACTGTTAATGTTTAATATTTTTCATTAAATTATTGTAAAATTAAATATGAATAATAAAACAAAAAGTGAGGTTAGGAAATCAAGAAAACGCACGATTCTTTTTTTACGATTTAAATTATGTTTAAGTTTTAATTTGCTTTCAGTTTTCAGTGAAATTAAATATTAAACACAGCTTAAACATTCCAAACTACCTATTTTTTAAATAAAAATCCAAACAAATTGAAATTAGATACCCACCTATTTATAAAACAATTAATTAAATTCAATGTAATAGCAAAAATCCATTTCTACTTAAATCATGTTGCTAGGTATTGTCAAAATATAACTGCTTCTAAAAGCAATAATAATTATTGTACATTTCATGTAATCTTTAGCTAATAAATAAATGAGATTCTAAAAAAGTGAGGTTAGGCCGCTTTGATGTTGAATTAAATTTACCTATATAAAGTGCTTTAAAGATAAAATGTTGTATGCCATTCGGCCAAGAAGTGCCTTTTTGTGCTTCGCTCAAACCTTGAGCTTAGCACAAAAAGCCTCACTTCTTAACCTAATGACATAAATAACTATTCTTTGTTAAAATAATTAAAAATCCTGGTTTTCTACAAAAAATTAAGGTAAAATTTAACAAAACAAAATTAACAAACTACAAAGTCATGTTAACAATCTGAAATTTATAACAATAATACGTACTCTCTAAAAATGATTAAGTCAAAAAAGACTAATTTAATAGTTATTAGCGGTATCCCAAAATTTAACAATCAATTTTTATGTAAAATTGTCCCCTGAATCCCAAAATACAGTCAAAAATTATGAAAGTCGAGTAGTTTTTAAGATATAGTCAATTCCATGGAAAATTGAGTATATCTTAAAAACTGTTGTACTTTTTTAACTTTTGTTGACATTTTCGGATTCAAGGGACAATTTTACATAAAAGTTGGCTGTTAAATTTTTGGATACCATGGTGTTCCATGGTTAACTATGGTTCAAGTGAAAAAGCCACTAATAACTATTAAATGAGTCATTTTTGACTAATTCATTTTTAGAGAGTATACGTACTCCTTTTTATATTGTAATAAATTTAATATAAAACTAAATTTAGTAACAACAATTTACTAAATATATCCAAGCCTACTTTATGACTAGTTGATAAAATTTGATGCATCGTTATTTAAACGACTATAAAGCTGCTGAAAGTGCATAACAGAAAATTAAATAATCGCGCCCGTTGGAGCGCTGAAGGTGAATTAATTATCGTGGCGCAAACAAAGTTTCACTGGAAGTACGCGATGTTTTAGGCCGATGCCTCGGAATAAATTAAACCTTATGGCATTTAAATTGAATCAAATTACGAAACAGAAGCGCTAAATTCGCAATGTGCAGTCTTACACGGGCAATAAATCGCGAATGGGAGCTATTGGAAAAGTGAAAACAATAGATCCTAAAGATATAATGGAATAGTGGCGGTATAAAGTATATAAGGTTAAAAATATTCTAAAAAATCATCAGTATAAACCTACATACATTTTTACAACATGTTCAAGTTCAGTGCAGTGCTCAGTTTGGTGGTGATTTGTGCCCAAGCGGGATACATTCCGGAGTATTCTGGCAACGAGTTGGGAGGCTATGGGGGCGAGGAAATCAGCTATGGGGGACACCATGTAGAAGAACACCATGAGGAGGAGTACCACGAACCAAAAAAATATCAGTTCAACTACGCCGTCCATGATCCTCACACCGGAGATGAGAAGTCGCAGTACGAAGAACGTGATGGTGATGTGGTTAAGGGACAGTACAGTCTTAGGGAAGCCGATGGTACCATGAGGATTGTGGAATACAAAGCCGACAAACACAATGGTTTCACTGCTGTGGTACATAAAGTAGGAGAGCCTAAGAAGCATGAGGAACAAGTCGTCTATGGAGGTCACGAAGGCTACGAGCATTATTAAATTGTGATATGGATTATTTTATAATAAATATTTAACTGTTATCGTTATTTTTCTTTCGATTATGTTGGCCCATGACCATTTAATCTAAGTATATAATAATAATAATAATTTATTTGCCCAACTAAGTAAAACTTAAAATATAAATTACCTAAATACCTACATACAATACATTTACCTAATAATAATAATTAAACTTTAACTAAACTAAAAAACTAAAAATAGGTTTTTGCCACCTCATGACTAATCGCATTTACAGAGTAAAACATATCACTGAATCGAGAATAAGATATTTTAAATAGACACAATGTATTGGCCGAATTAGTATGGCTATTAAAAATTTTAAATATAAATTTAAGACGAGAACAAACTCTTCTGCAATGAAAACTCCATATTAAAGCCATTTAATATGGTAATTTTAAGAATTTGTTCGAACATTTTAATTTTTATAGTTAAGATTACTTCTTCTTCAAATTTGTTTTGTCGTTTCGCTTATTAGTAAACTTTTTGGCCAATAGTAGATATTTCAGAGTAAATACAAATCTAAAACCAATGGAGCTTCAGTCAATAAAATTAGCTCGAATATTTGATTCGAATTTCGAATCAAATTATTTAATTCGTTTTGTCTTGAATTATTCGTTGTGTCAGTTTGTCAAATTTTCCTTTAAAAATAAAGATTTCTTCAACCGTTGAAATCTGATATATACCCCTTATGGGTACTTCACCCGAAATTATTGGAGCTGCGGCATCGGCACCCTCTAGTTTGCGAAATTTAGATTATAATAGTGTATTATGTATCAAGTTTGATAAACACCATTTTAGATACGAATTGTCTAGAAAAGTTTATAAACGAGTTGCATACTATGCTACGACAAATACATATTATTATTTAAAATTAAATATTTGTATAGAGCGACATCTATAAAGCAATACAGTAACCAACTTAGGAATAAATGTTACCGTCAAATGTAAAAATTTTATGTTTTATAAATTGAAATGTATCCCTTGAAAATGGTTTATCAAAGTGAAAGTGAAAAATAGTATATTATGTATCAAGTTTGATAAACGCCATTTTATACACGAATTTAGATTAGGCACAAGCGAGCTTGCGAGCGAGTGCTTAAATTAATGAGTGTATAGAAAAGTTTATAAACGAGGTGCATGCATACTATACTTTTTCTACGACAAATACCTACTTATAATTATCTTAAAATAATTTAAATCAAATATTTGTATAGAGCGCCAACTATGAAACAATAGGGTAATCTTTGTCACCGTCAAATGTCACATTTTTATATTTTATAAAAACAGATTATAAACGTTATAAATCGAAATGTATTCCTTGAAAATGGACAGTTTTTCACAGTAAAAGTAAAAAAAAATGTTTTATTCGTTGTGTCAGTTTGTCAAATTTCAGATTTCTTCAACCGTTTAAATCTGATATATACCCCTTATGGGTACTTCACCCGAAATTATTGGAGCTGCGGCTTTGGCGCCCTCTAGTTTGCGAAATTTAGATTATAATAGTGTATTATGTATCAAGTTTGATAAACACCATTTTAGATACGAATTGTCTAGAAAAGTTTATAAACGAGTTGCATACTATGCTACGACAAATACATATTATTATTTAAAATTAAATATTTGTATAGAGCGACATCTATAAAGCAATACAGTAACCAACTTAGGAATAAATGTTACCGTCAAATGTAAAAATTTTATGTTTTATAAATTGAAATGTATCCCTGGAAAATGGTTTATCAAAGTGAAAGTGAAAAATAGTATATTATGTATCAAGTTTGATAAACGCCATTTTATACACGAATTTAGATTAGGCACAAGCGAGCTTGCGAGCGAGTGCTTAAATTAATGAGTGTATAGAAAAGTTTATAAACGAACTATACTTTTTCTACGACAAATACCTACTTATAATTATCTTAAAATGATTTAAATCAAATATTTGTATAGAGCGCCCACTATGAAACAATAGGGTAATCTTTGTCACCGTCAAATGTCACATTTTTATATTTTATAAAAACAGATTATAAACGTTATAAATCGAAATGTATTCCTTGAAAATGGACAGTTTTTCACAGTAAAAGTAAAAAAAAATGTTTTATTCGTTGTGTCAGTTTGTCAAATTTCAGATTTCTTCAACCGTTTAAATCTGATATATACCCCTTATGGGTACTTCACCCGAAATTATTGGAGCTGCGGCTTTGGCGCCCTCTAGTTTGCGAAATTTAGATTATAATAGTGTATTATGTATCAAGTTTGATAAACACCATTTTAGATACGAATTGTCTAGAAAAGTTTATAAACGAGTTGCATACTATGCTACGACAAATACATATTATTATTTAAAATTAAATATTTGTATAGAGCGACATCTATAAAGCAATACAGTAACCAACTTAGGAATAAATGTTACCGTCAAATGTAAAAATTTTATGTTTTATAAATTGAAATGTATCCCTGGAAAATGGTTTATCAAAGTGAAAGTGAAAAATAGTATATTATGTATCAAGTTTGATAAACGCCATTTTATACACGAATTTAGATTAGGCACAAGCGAGCTTGCGAGCGAGTGCTTAAATTAATGAGTGTATAGAAAAGTTTATAAACGAACTATACTTTTTCTACGACAAATACCTACTTATAATTATCTTAAAATGATTTAAATCAAATATTTGTATAGAGCGCCAACTATGAAACAATAGGGTAATCTTTGTCACCGTCAAATGTCACATTTTTATATTTTATAAAAACAGATTATAAACGTTATAAATCGAAATGTATTCCTTGAAAATGGACAGTTTTTCACAGTAAAAGTAAAAAAAAAATGTTTTATGAGCACTTTACAGTGTAGTCCGAGCCCGAATTTGAAGTTATAGTTTACTGCCGGCGAAATTAAAAGGTCAGTGCAATGTTCAAATATTGGCGTTGAGAAACTATTTAATACCTTTATACCTATTTTTGTATTGGGATAATACAATAATTTTCACATTTAGTATTATTTTACAAGAAAGGCACTTTATTTTAACGATTGTATGACATTTGACAACTGTTAACTAAATTAATACTAACTTCAGCCCGTGACTAAAAACCTGTTGCCAACTTCAGCCCGTCACTAAAACGCCATAAAGTCACAACTTATCAATGTGTATTTAAAAGGTCACTTATTGTCATGGAAACATGTACAATAATGGGCATTTTAAAGGTGGGAGTAGAAAAAATAATTTCTACAATTTAGTTTAATTTTAAAAGACGGGCACTTTACTTTGAGGATTGTTGCCAAAAATAAACTACTTTAGCCTGTGAGTAAAAAGCCCTAAAGGCACTGCTGTTAACTTCATCTCGTGACTAAAACTCCATTACTTACCTTTTTGTAGGTTTTTTTGGTAGGTAATCAATAAAAATACTGCCTTACAATAATTGATTTATTTATTTTGATATATTTACAGTTTAAACTTACAATGTAAAGATTCAGTATACAATACTGATTTTAAGAAAAACAAGTATTAAAAGAAGTTTTGTTTGTTTTAATAATACTTATTGTACAATTTAATTAATAAATCATTGGATTTGTGTCGACTGGGTGCGATAAAAAGAAATATTTATTTGCAACAAACAACAATAATTTTTATGTGTATTATAACTTACGACTCAGAATTCTAGATCTTTAAAAATTAACAACGTCTACAAAATGATAGACTGTTAAAAAATTTTGATTGTGTTTGAAATTAATTTATGTTTTTAAAATTCTCAGTCTTAAATTATTTAGCTGTGTTAAGAGAGTAAGCAGAAATTTAATGTTATAAGATTTGATAATAACAAAATTTAATTTAAAACGCATCCAATTTCAATAGCATAAAATTTTAAAATATGTGCACAAACAAGGCAATAACTATTAATAAATATTATAATTTAGTTAAAATTAGGTAATGGTCAAAAAACATCAAAAATCACCCTATTCAGATATAACACTTTTGTAGTATTTGACACAGGGTGGCCAACAACTTTTCTAGGACATGTTTAACTGTTTGAGTTTGAGAGAGTAATAAAAAGTGCCTTATTAATCGGAGTTCGATACATACATGAAAAGTTTCCACCCCAGTTTTACTTGTTACGTAAAAATAAATATTTTAAATTTAAGGGGGAACAATTTATTTTCATATTTTTAACCCCACATCAACCCCTAAGCGAGGGTGATGGTTACCCCTACAATTTTTAAAGGTAATTTTGAAAGCCTTTTAAATCCTTTTATTTTGGTGTATTAGTTTTTAAAATCTTTTCGAGATATTTGAGAAAAACTTTATTTATTAATTTATTTTTATTTTAAATATAAATTTTGCATAAAAGCAATAATTTTGTTTAAAAATATGCTTTTATAAGTAAGTGACTTATATAATTACTTACGGGTATACTTTTGGTTAAATTAGGACAAAAAATATATACAGGGTGTCCCATAATTAGCGTGCAATACTTAAACAGCAGATTCTACGTACAAAAATAAGAAAAAAATTTTCTATAAACATAGGCCGAGAAATGCTTTCTAAGGGAACTACAGCCCCTAAATGAGGAACCCCTGAAGATGGTTTTTATTTAATATTTCCAAAACTGTTCAAGGTAGAAAAGTAAAATTTTGGGAATTAATCAAACGTTTTATGACCAATAAGATGTAATATTAACAATTCAAAATTTCCATGAGGGGTGGGTCAGATAGATAGGGAATAGGGGTTAAAACCACCCTAACTTTTTGTACGTGCCTCGTGCTAGGATTTGATGTCAGATTATGAAATTTCGGAATTTTACACACAAAAAACGTTCTCTTGTTAAACTTTGATATTGTCCACTGTTTTCGCTTATAATCCATTTAAAAATTACCTTACATAGCATAAAACATCATAATGAATTCACAAGAGAGAAAAATTCAGAGTAGGCCATGGAACACAGCTGCCATCTTTAGGAAAAATTATTTAAGACAGGTGACAGTTTCATGTAATATGTGACAGGGTGTTTAAAAATTGTCCATGGCCATGTTTAAAAATTGTCCATGGCCTACGCTGAATCTTTTTCTCTAGTTGTGATTTCATTATGATTTTTTATACTATGTAAGGTAATTTTTAAATCGATTTTAAGCGAAAACGGAGCAGGCTATCGAAGTTCATCAAGAGGACCTTTTTTATGTGTAAAACTTTATGATCTGATATCAAATCACAGCACAAGATACGTACAAAAAAGTTAGGGTAGTTTTACCCCCACTCCCTTTCTATCTGACCCACTCCTTATGAAAATTTTGAATTTGTTATTATTCCAACTTATTGGCTATAAAAAGTTTGATTATATTCCAAAATTTCACTTCTTCTATCTTAAACAGTTTTGGAGATATTAAATAAAAACCATCTTCAGGGGCTCCTCTTTCGGGCCCTTGGAAATCATTTCTCGACCTATTTTTATAGGAACTTTTTTTCTTATTTTTGTACGTAGAATCTGCTGTTAAAGTATTGCACGCTAATTATGGGACACCCTGTAAACACTCTCTAAAAATTAATTAGTCAAAAATGACTAGTAAGTTATTAGTGGCTGCTTTTTCACTTATACCATGGTTATCCACGGGATAACATGTTATCCCCAACATTTAAAAGCCAATTTTTATATAAAATGGTCTCCTGAATCCGAAAATACCATCAAAAATTATGAAAGTAGAGCAATTTTTGAGATAAAATCAATTTCTTATTGGAAAATTGACTATATCTCAAACACTTTTCTACTTTTATAATTTTTGACGAAATTTTGGAATTCAGGGGACAATTTTACATGAAAATTGACTGCTAAATGTATGGGATACGAATTTCTATTGACGACAATTATTAGTGACTGCTTTTTTGCTATTACAATTAGTTATTTTTGACTAATTTATTTTGCATGTCAAAAAAAACTTATAAATTCTTCGAAAACAAAGGTGGTCATTTTTTGAATCAGCGCACCCAAATTAGCCCAGAGAAGTTGTTGGCATCCCTGTGGCAAACAAAAAATTTCATTTTGTCGACTAGTGTAATCTAAGTGATTTTGTATGTTTTAACAAACAAGATTGTCTTATAAAGGAACAATATTAACAAGGAACAAATAAACTTTAAAAGCTTCCAAACGAAACAAATTTGCTACTCTATATCACGTGTGTTCTGAGGCCATCATAACAGGCGATTGCCGCCTAGGAAAGCGTTTCTGGTACGGCTCCCAGTCGGCCTTGGACAACTATAATAATGATAATAATAATAATATTAAGTAATGTTATTACAAGTAATTTATGTTAATACAACATAATATTTTATACAATACTATTGTTATAACAGACAAACGCCCTGAAATTAATGAGATTTTCTGTACTACCACTAGAATTGAAAAATATATAATAAAATGACCTTGTGACAGGCAAGCTAACTGATTTGGTGGTACAAAGAAATTAAATTTTTCATTATTTTTTTGTTAAATATTTTCCGAACCAATCATTCGATTTTGATGATCTTTTTTTGGATTGTGTAACCACTCTTAGAGAATTTTATTATCACTTCAGTTCTTTTATAAATCTTTGTTTCTTTTATATACTTATGGAGTGTTATACTGTCCTTTCAGGCTAAGTTGAGCGGTCTAAGGAATGTCACCCCGTCCATCATCTCTATGTTCAGGCACAATTAAATACATGTATTTAGGTAGCCGCTCTGTACGAACAAACGGCAAGCCTTGGCACTGATAAATCATCTTCTTGTTACCAAAATCTCGCGATGATTCGATATTTAATTTAATCAACGGCATGTGACCCCACCAAAGCGCTCAACTTAGCCTGAACGGACTGTACTCATACTTGATTTTATTTAGGACATTTCAAACAAAATGTCAATATTATTTAACTTAAGGTTTAACACATTTAACAATTAACATAATTATAGTATATTCTGTATCAAGTTTAATAAACGATATTTTAATTTAGCACGAGCGAAGCTTGCGAGCGAGTGTTTAATAAAAACGAGTGTCTAGAGAAGTTAAACAAGTTACATACTATACTTTATCTACGACGAACACAAAATAGAATTTAAAGCCAATTTTATTTCTTAAAAATCTGTCAACTGTCACCCAAATTTAACCTCACTTTTTCCAAATGTATAATAAAGCTAACTTCAGCCCGTGACTAAAAAGCTTAATAGCCACTGTTGCCAACTTTAGCCCGTGACTAAAACGCAATAAAATCACATCTCGTCAATGTGGGAGTAGATAAACAAAGTTATCTATTGTATTTACGCAACACAGTCAATAATACTTAGTCTTTTCTCCTCTTGTACGAATTACAGCCTATTTGAGGCGTTTTCTGCAAAAGCGGCTAAACTGAAAAAAAAATAATTTATTGTTTTTATCTTAAAATATTTCTATTATGCGCTTAATATAAAGAGTAGTTACTACTCTTTATATTAAAACAATAATAAAGTGTTCACTCGATAAGCGCATAAAAGGAATATTTTAAGATAAAAACAAAAAATGATTTTTTGCAGTAAATGCCTCATTCCATCTTGGTCAATACTCATGTTGATTAATGGCAGTGGCGGCTGGTGGATTTTGGGCACACAAATTTTAAGTATTACATATTTTATACCATTTCTATTTTTTTTTTAATTTAGTAAAAGAAATAATAAAAATTTAAAATGGTATAAAACCTGTAATTCTTAAAATTTTTTAATAAGCTTTTTTCGCAACATTCAATTTAAATTCTGCTTACGCAGAACTTGTCTATATAATGTCATTGTAAACTCATATAAATTTGATGTGGGTTCCATGTCTAATAAATGAGATATGGGTGTGCCCAAAATCCACCAGCCGCCACTGATTAATGGGTTGACGAGGAAGTTCTCTTAACAGTTTTCCATAATATCCCAGATATGTTCTATTGGATTAAGATCCAGACTTCTGGCTGGCCAACGCATTGTGGGAATATTAAACTCGACAAAAGGTGCAAAAGGCATTACGATAGGTTGCCGTGATGCCTCTCCACACCATACTAGAACCTCCACCAAACATGACTGTTTGAATAATGCAACAACAATGCAACAACGCTGGATTCAAGATATAGTCAATTGATGGACACCAAGACGTTGAGCAATACTTCTGACATTCATTATAAAATATTAACATTTCGTTTAAAATGTTATAATTTTGACAAGACGCAACAGCCTGTTTTTTTAAGTGTATAAAAAGGTAAATAAAACATGCAGTTTTATTAAATTGTGTATCTCCTTTAATCAAAGAGATAAAAAAGTGAATCCAAAAAGAGGATAAATAAGGCCATAGTTAAATCTTTTTAGGATTTGCTATTACTGCCACTTTTATCCACAGGGTGTTTCAAAATTAAGTATCAGTATAAAACCATGCATATAAAAGAAACAAAGATTTATAAAAGAACTAAAAACATAACAACATTCTCTAAGAGTCGTTACACAATCCAAAAAAAAAATAAATAAAATCGAATGATTGGTCCTGAAAATATTTAACAACAAAATAATGATAAATTTATGGTAATGCGTTAATTTCTATCGCAAAAGTATTTTAAAAATATTATATAAAAAAATTGCTTTACCTGTCAGTGGGTCACGATGACGTCGGGCGCCGATTTGGTCGTCTGCACGCTGTACGGCCTCTGACGCGGGTCGGCGTCATACTTTTTGTTGCCTTTGTGGTTGTGGTTGTGCTGGTTGTGCGGCTGCACCTCGATCTTCGCTTCCGCTTTGAACTTTGTGTCCTTTTTGTAGCCGAACGTGCTGAATGGGGCGGGCGGCGAGTTGTGGATGCTGTGGCTCGGAGTGCTGTTACCCGAGCTATAACTAAAAGAAAAATAACTAAGTATCTTTAGTAATCCCAAGTATTTACAAGGATTCATAAAAACAAAACTAATAATTCACATAACCAGTCACTGGTAGGGCTGGATTAATGCAAAAGGGGGCTAAACAATGTAGGGGACCCTTAAGGTTCTTTATTAAAAGAAAAATGTAATGTTTAAATGTAAAGTATTAAAAATAATAATGGATCTTTATTTAAAATTTATTCAATAATTGGAAAAGAAAAATACCACCAAAGATGCAAAATTGCTAAAACAATCATTTTAAATTTTGAAAACTTATGTATAAATAAAAAAATATTATAAGTGTATCAAAAACAATAAATTTTAATTTCATTTTATTTATTTTATCTTCTCCAAAAACTGGTACTACCAATTTAGTCGAAAAAAGTATGGAATATTTTTTTTAATTTGTATTATTTTAAATTAACGTTGTCCATAATCTATTCATAATCTAAGCAAGTTAATTTAGTGTAAAACTAGTCAATTAACAAATATTTCCTTTATACACTGTTTAATATATCTGTGGTGTAAAGAGTACTCTTAAAATGGTGTCAAAATCCAACACCAAGTGGTGTTTATCTAAAAATATTTGAGAAGTGCACCTACACAGAAAAAAAGGAATAATTCATTTAACTATATTAATTTAGTTGACCCATAAGTATTTATTTTTTTATTTTTACTGTGGGAAGGTTAATATAAACAAAGATTAGTCTGAGGGTACCAGTTAGTAATTTTTTTTTAATTGGTTAAATTAACCCAGAAAACTTTAGTGAAACCAACCCGCTGTATGGTTCAGTTTACTAAATATGTTGTTTGTAAAATAAGAGTTACTTCAACCTAAAGCACTCTGTTAAAACGATTAAAACAATTTGCCGTGCATTTCCGGTTGCATAGTGTGTACCGATTGCGGCAAAGGCGGTGTGGATCACGTGATGTTCTTAAATCTCGCCTCTGTTGACTTACATGAAGAGTATATAAGCTCAGGTAGTCCTTTGCTTTGGTGTGACACTACAAGTTGTTCGATACTAAAGAGACCTTATAAATAGGTGGAAACAGCTGTCAATACTTGAAGTATTTTAAGTTAGTGGAACGAACTAAAAACATTATCTCTAGCGAGTTGAAGGTTTAATTTTCTGGAATAAAACTACCACTGGTAAAATACTAGTAATGCGCCAAGGAACTTCCTGTTTCCTTTTTTTTCCTTTTTTCTGTGAAGTATGATTTAATTTGATCAAAAACACATAATATTTAACACTGAAAAACAGTTTAATTTACACCAGGTAAAATTTATTTTAATACTGTGTGAAAGTTAAATTAACACTATTTTAGTATTTGAATTTACACCGGACCAACGAACCATATTTAACACCATTTTGGTTTGTATCGATATAGACCATGTATGGGGCAATAGCTTCCAAAGCCCCCACCCCTTAATCCAGGGCTGGCCACTGGCTCCCTCGTAGCAGCGGCGTAACTAGAAAAAGTGCCGCCCGGGGCAGCAGTGGCTGTCGCCCTCATGTTTTTTTTTGGCGGGGGAAGAGAGGTTAGGTTAGGAGTCAGTTTTGAGGACCGTACGCAAAATTAAAAATATATAATTATATATATAACATATATATATACCTATAACATAAAATTGTAATATTTTAAGAATTAAAAACAAACAAAAATTCTTAGACCTAGGTAAAGAAAAACAACAAATAAAATGTGCTTTAACATAATTTATATGAAAAAAACAAAGAGATAAATTCTCAACCCTATGTAAAAGTACCTACAAAAAAAAATTAAACCTGAGTAAAAAATAAATAAAAATGTTTAAATATTTTGGGAGTAATTGTATAAATCTCAAATCTATTGGAATTTGAATTATATTATTTCGAAAGAGAATATTTAATTATCAAATATTTTTTTTATTTTTATATTCTGTCTTTTTTTTCGCATTTTCTCACGATTTTTGCCGCCCCAAGAAGTGCCGCCCGGGGCAGACCGCCACCCCCCGCCCCCCCCTAGTTACGCTACTGCCTCGTAGACAGATCTAAATCCCATCGAAAGGTAAAATTTGGTTAGATTGTTATTATTATGTTATAATTAAACTAATAATTTAAATTTTAGTAACAGTGATTGTTGCCAACAATATATTTTTAATAAAAAATGTTGAAAACCACTTTCCCAGATAATATATAAATTTATCAATCAACATCCATCACAGCCAGTTTTACACTTGTAGTATGAGTAATTGAATTCACATCTTCGTGATTCTTACAGCGTTCATACAAAACCAGTGTGGGGCTCACTTTTGGAGAAAATTGAATTTTACATACTTAAGATCTTTTTGATCATTTATAATGCATTTGAAACTCAATTTATTATGCATAGTTTTCTATGCGACGACCGTCTGCACCGTTCACAAAAAATAACAGTTTTTTGTTAATAAAGCATACGCTAAATCAGGAGTTCTCAAAGTCCTCCAGTAAGTAAAATTAATTTACACTTGCAAAAACTGTTTTAAATTTTGAAATGAAATTTTATTTTATTTATTTCTTGTTCTCCAAAAGTTGGTACATACCCTCATAAATAAGTATTTTTTAAAAACAATGATATTATTTAATTTATGCATTTTAATAGCTTAACTTATTACCTCCAATCAACATTTTACATTAATATTTGTTTTAAAGTAAGAGTAGTTTCTTATGTTATCAGCGATTATAAAAGAGGTAGTAATTAAAAAATATTTAATTTTTTTTATTTTAACTAGGTACGGGCCCCTCTGAATGACAAGGCCTGGAGCTATAGCCCCCAAAACCCTCCTTAATTTAGGGCTGCTGAATGATACACAAAATTTCACCCTTAAGTCACAATTTTATTTTGGTACAAAGTGACAAATAATAAATTTTTACGGCCTAAGCCATAAATAACCTATCTCGAATGGTCTAAATTAATTTTAAGTGCCCAGGTCAATCACTTTAGTTACAAGAATAAAGTTTAAATTATAGAGATAAAATTAAAATTAATTATACAAATTTTTCCGCAAGTTCCCTAACTTTTGAAGAGCAGTTTATATATCAAAAGTTTTGAATATTAAGTGTTACTTTTGAAATATCGAAAATATAAAAAATGATTTTAATAAAAATTGTTTAATGGTTTATTTCAAATTTTGAGGTGACATTACCTACTTAAATAAATAAATACGTAGCCCCCCAACGGGCCAACTTTTTTTAATAGTAACCCTCTTTTTTACACATAATTTAAAAGACGGTTTTTTCTGAGTACAACAGTATATTAAAATTAGTACATAGGGATGTTTGAGCGAAATGTCGTATAGAATTAAAAAAACCTTTATCTAAAATAATGCATAAAAACGGCAATGCAGTGGCCTATACGATTTTCAAATTCTTGTTTTACATTTTTGCATCCAAACGAGGGGTAAACCCTCGGGTAAACCACTTTAAAATCTTGGAGACCAACGTTCAATGTTAGTGGACGTTGTGTTGAGATTTTTTTCCTTATCAGTCGTTATCAATAAGGAAAACTTGTTTAATCAATGCTTATCAATAAGAAATTTCTCTTAGCGACGCGTTGCGCATGACTACCCTTGTTATTGTTATCCTTAGCCGTTAATTCGTAAGCGATTTTTAATTTAAAAAAATCATTGGTTTACCCTTCGCATCCAAACGTCTTGAACATTATGAATTTCATCAACTATTCTTTCTCTGAGAACCTGAAGATTGCCCGGTCTATTTTTGTACACCAATAACTTTAAATGACCACTTAAAAAATCCAATCGTGTTAGGTCTGAAGACCTAGCAGGCCCTCGTCTTGCTGGAACCAAATGGTGTCGTCTACTTCATTATTTTCCCCAGGGTACAATGCCCTTACTGCTGTAACGATATCTGTCTGGAGGAGGTTCAAATATTGTTCTGCAGTTAAATTGCCATCAATAAAAAATAGTCCTTTTATTTGTTGGTCAATTATTCCTGCCCATACATTTATCTTTTGAGTGTGCTGTGTGTGCGTGTCTCCTCTTTCCAATGCGGGTTTTGGTGGGACCAGTAGCGGCAGTTATGATAGTTAACAAAACCGTTTAGCATGAATGTGGCCTCATCCAAAAATAAAAATTTTCTTGAGAAATTTAGATCCTGATTACAACGTTCCATCAAAATTTCACACAACTCAGCTTTACGATCAAAATCGACCTCACGCAACCCCCCGACAAGAAACTGTAGGTACTTCCTGGACAGACAGCATTGGCAGATTTTGGTCGACCTATTTTTCACAATTTTTTTTACAATTTTGCTTACGCATGATTGTGTCAAAGGCTCCTTTTCCAGATACGTGGCATTAAATAATGCACATACTTCTTGCTGTCCTTTTTCGGTCACTATATCCAACCAATATTAAAATTTTAATTCTTTATTTTTCAGTATGCATTGTTTTTTAAAAAGGTATCTATTTATTTTACTATTACTATATATGAAAATTGCACTGAATGTCGAATTAAAATTGAACTACAGGAAACAATGTAAAGCCTCAAAAAATACTATAACAAAAAACTTACAAATTTAAGTTTTTTAACGTTTATCGCTCAGCAAATTCTGATAAACAACTTATGATACTTTAAATTACGATATTTTAATAAGCAAACTATACAACTATGGAGTAAGGGGTTTACCACTGCAGTGGTTTCGATTCTACCTCTCGGGAAGATGTCAAAAAGTTGTTGTTGAACAAGATTCACAAGTATTTACTTTTTCATGCCAATATTTTAAGACAGGTATACCACAAGGTATTTTATTTATTTTTTATTTAAATGATTTAAAAGACTGCTTGATAAATGATACAGATGTTTTAATAAACTATGATGATGACAGCAATATATGTCATTACAGAAAGTAAAACCTTTGAAAGTTTGATGGAGAACGCAGATGGGGTGTTGGACAGTCTTGTACAGTGGTTTAACAAAAAAATATTAATCTTGAATACAGACAA